GAGTTTCTTGGATTTTCTCAGCAATTTCTTTCTGTAGGCTTCAATAGAGGGCTAAAGATGGGTGGGGAGACGATTCATGGTTACTCATGGCAGATGCTTCGCATCCGCTCGAGCAATACGACGAGCACAAAGTGGCAGATGCTTCGCATCCGATCTATCGCCAGCGCTTGCAAGAGCGCCAACGTGCGTATGGGAAGTTAAAAGTCGTGATGGATCCCATGATGTGGGCAACACAACTCATTGAACTGTCACAAACACTTCAACCAAACATACATACTTTAATGATACTTAGCTGTTTCCTTAGTACGTGCGTTTTCCTTCTTGGGATATTCCTCATGATGTGCCCATCACATTTAGTGCAATGTTTCTTTGAGCTGGGATGCACCTGATAACCTACCTAATGCCCTAGAAATGTCTGGGAGTGGTGCCTTTTACACGATGAGGAGGGCTGGTACGTCTATGTGCTGGCTGCGTTGATGCAGTGACCTGGGATGCATTTTATCCATCTTTAAAACGGGCGACGGCCTTGAGATATCATCATTGAACTCACCGGGCCTGAATAATTCAGAGTTAGTTGGCTCTGCTCATCTGATTGCATCTGATTGGAGTTGAACTTGGGTCTGTATTTCAACAGTTCATGGGTGTACCATCTGAACTTGGCCTGTTGGGTCTGTATTTCAACAGTTCACGGGTGTACCATCTGAGCTAGGCCGTTGCACCGTATCTAATAATAAATACAATCTTGTCATTCTTTTGATGGATCTATGGTTTTTGAGGATGAAGTAAACTTCATATTACTATTTTTTCTAAACCCTGCCCTGGGGATGCTGTTGGGGGTGATAAGAGCATCTTCCATAAGTACTGCCCGATGGCAGATGGCTCCAATCTATTGGTGGGAGCAGCACCTGCTGGAGAACAACGGTGTGAACCTACAGCCTGGAGAGTCTCTTTTGAGGTGTGAATTTCACTTTATGCATGGGCATCTTTGTCCGTGGTTGGCTATGCAGTTAGCTGCATGGGTGACTGAGCTTCCCGCGAGGGGCTCAGCTGGGAAAGTGGCTGGGTGGGTGGACACGTACTCAGGCAGCTGAGTAGGTGGCTGGGCCAGTGAGCAGAAGAATGGGGAGCTGCTTGTGTTGATGCCTGAACCTTTGTGGATGGATGGATGGATGGATGGATGGATGGACGGGTGGACGGGTGGAAAGGGAGTGCCTGATCCTGACCTCAGGATTTCTTTCTTTCTTTCTTTTTTTTTCTTTTTTTTCTTTTTTTAATTCTTGTTTCTGATGTCAGGAAGTGTCGGTGCCCACAATCACGTCAAGTTGAGACATATAGTGACTTGAGGCTCCGATTGGGTATTTTGCAGGCTGCCAAGGGTTCAGCCTTCTGCTGAGCCAATGGACACTCGACAAAGCAATATGTCATGAAGTGACATGAATCCTTTTAAATCATTATTGAAAGGTTTAAAGACGTGAGTTGAGTTGTCTAGAATCAAATAAAATTTCACTATATGTGGGACTATGACTCTGAAAAAGCAATATGTTATGAAGTGACATGAATCCTAAAAGGTTTAAAGACGTGAGTTGAGTTGTCTAGACTCAAATAACACTATATGCGGGACTATGTGCTATGGCCTTCGGCCCTTTGTTTTGTGTGTAAAATTCGATACATGTATGTTCCAGTTCACCTTACTGAAATTCAATGGGCATAACCCGCAGGAACCAACATATGTCTGTGTAGGATCCTCAGAGACTATACGTGGAACAACTTCAGTCAGGCGGTTAGTATAGTCGCCTTGAAACAATTTGAAGCTAGAGTCTGTGCTTTTGTCCTTTTTTTTGTGTGTGTCTTCGTTTACTTCATATGGCATTTTTCTTGTCCTCCCAACCACCCTCTACCATCCTGCCGTCTAATCTTTTAAGACAGGGAGCATGGAGTGTGAAAACTGCGTAAGTAATGCTGAACAAGTGCTGGTCCCCAGATGGCACGGGAACCCCTCCCCCAACCGGGAGCCTCCCAGTTGCACATGCCAGTGTGCCGCCCAGGTTGGCTCTATGCTGCCCCAACTCATGTTTGTTGGGGCCCAGGGTTGCATACCCGCCGAACGCCTGCCCCAACCGCCAACGGGGAGGCAGCTGCCGCTACACAATTGAAAAACCGAGGCCCCTCCTTCAACCAAACAAGAGGTCGGCGATCTTGGCCACCGATGCTACCGCTACCGCTGCTACTACTACTGCCGCTACTACTGCTACTGCTACTGCTACTGCTACTGCTACTGCTACTGCTACTACTTCTACTCCTATTGCTACTCCTACTGCCCCTGCCCCTGCCCCTGCTGCTACCGCTACCGCTACCGCTACCACTACAGCCACTACTACTACTACCATTACTGCTACTACTCCTACTACTACCACTACCGCTACCGCTACCGCTACCGCTACCGCTACCGCTACCGCTACCGCTACTACCGGTACCACCACTACGACTACTACCGTTACCGCTACCGCTACCGCGGTACCGCTACTATCGGTACCACCACTACGACTACTACCGCTACCACCACGATGACTACTACCACTACGACTATTACAACTACTACCACCCCTACTACTACCACCACTACTGCTACTACCACCACTACTACTACTACTACCACTACTACTACGACGACGACGACTACTACTACCACCACCACTACTACGACTACTACTACCACCACCACTACCACTACTACTACTACTACCACCACCACCACCACCACCACCACCACCACCACCACCACTACTACTACTACTACAATTACAACTACTACTACCACCGCTGCTACTACTACTACTACTACTACTACTACTACTACCGCCACCGCCACCACCACTACTACTACCACCACCACCACCACTTCTACTACTACCACCACCACTACCACTACTACTACTACTACTACTACTACCACCAACACTACCACTAGTACCACCACCACCACCACCACTACTACTACCACTACCACTACTACCACCACTACCACAACTACCACCACCACCACCACCACTACTACTACTACCACCACCACCACCACCACTACTACTACCACCACCACCAGTACTACTACTACTACTACTACTACTACTACTACTACTACTTTCTTTTTCTTCTTCTTCTTCTTCTTCTTCTTCTTCTTCGTCGTCGTTGTCGTCGTCGTCGTCGTCATCGTCGTCGCCATCTCCTCCTGTTCATCTTCTTCTTCTTCTTCCCCTCCTCCTCTTATTCTCCTCTTCTCCTCCTCTTATTCTCCTCTTCTCCTCCTCCCCTTATTCTTCTTCCTCCTCTCGTCTTCTTTTCCTTAGTCCTCATCCCCCCCCCCCCCCCCCCCCCACGGACATCAACCTCCCCGCTCGCCTCGCTCTTTCACCTCCTGCTCTCCCGTTGACCTACCCCACACCTCCACCCCACTGTACTCCCCACCTCGCCCTCCCTGCTCGCTATTGCCCATAAAGCTGCCACACCCCCCATCGTTCTTCCCCCGTCGACCTACTACATCCCCCATTGGTCTTCCCCCATAGCCCTCACCCATAGAAGGACATAGCCTTCAGGTCCAAAACTTCTTCTTCTTCGCCTGCTTCTCCTCCTCCTACACCATAGATGCACAGAGACGGAAATAGCCCTCGAGGTTTCTTTTTTCTTTTCTTTTCTCCCCCAAATTTCAAAAGTTGTTGTTGTTGATCTTCTTCCTCTTCTTCCCCTCCTCCTGCTCGTCCTCCCTCCCTCCATTAAATAACCCCCCATATACCCCCTGGCACCCCCCTCCCGCCCCGAGACACTCCGCCAAAAAGTATCGGACCTTCAAAGTTTCGTTGTCGAATCCGACAGCTCTCAGAGAGTGCAGTTGGATCCTGAAATAAAAAAAGGGCATTTTTTAGGGTTAACCTGTTTTCCGGTTGGTCCTCGTAAGCCGGACGGACCCTGGTTGAACCGTCCCGACTCAACCGGCCAGTTGCCAGACCAGCCCTACGCTGAACCCATTTTTCAGCAAATAATGAAACTAGTTAAACAAAGAAAAGAAAAGCAAAACAATGTAGACAAAGAGTAAACAGCATCGGAATGTCCCCCCTCAGGTGGAAATGTCCACAAGCGACTCACCTTGATAATGAGCTTCGCAGTTAGAAGATCGACGATCATAATGGCTGCCATGATAATGTATGAAAGAATGATGAATTTGTGGAAATCTGTAAGATAAGAAGAACCTGGCAACTGCAAGAGAAACCAACATGACACGCCACCACCACTATCATTTTCTTTTTCTTTTTTTCTTTTTTTGTTGAAAAATCATCGCTGCCGGGCGTAGGAGGGATGCTGGTAAGAGCAGACACCCCTTCTACTGACCCGTATATCGGATGGCTCCATTCTATAGGTGGGGAGCTGCACCTGCTGGAAACCGGGTCCAGCGTCCCATCACATCATGAGTCTGAGCCATAACACGTCATACGTTGTCCTTAGCCAAGCCCACCCTTGTTCAATCCCCACTCCCCTATTCCCATGCCCTTCTCATGACCTCCATAGTTGGTGATCATCACCATCACCATCGTCAATAGCATATCATCATGAAACACGAATCACAACAACAGAATTTGTGAACACAGTCTACTTTCTTTCCTCCTCCTTTCCGAAAGGAGCAGGCAACTGCCTTGAGATATCATCATCGAGTTGAACGGCCCCATGTACTTCAGAATTATATTCATTGCATTCATCTAGGTCGATCAGGACTCGAACTTCGGTCTTTATCGCAACAGCTCATGGGTGTACCAACTGAGCTAGGCTTGAGCAACTACCTGATACAACAGCCCTTCCGCCACCTGCATTTCCGCTTTCCTGCGCAAATGTACAGACGGGCGAATGAGCAGGAGATTGAGCAGGCAGATGGGCAACCAGATGCCCCTGGACGGACGGATGGGTAGACTGACAAAACAACCGCCCTTCGAGCCTCATCTTGAATAAGCGCCAGGGGGGTTGCATCACAGCTCCAGGCAGAGTGATGTGGCAAGTCGGGGACCTGGTCACAACGGGCCTAAGAAGTCTGGACACCACTCTGGAAGTCAAGGATGCACCCTGGCTCACCACCCACCTTTTGGGTCCTACCTTCTTCATCGGAATACAGCGTCCGGTCACGCTGAATTTAGACTGAAAGATACCTCAAATACAGCTATAATGACAGCAAGTTGTATTCAAGTGAAGAAGGTGGGAATAGATTGTGGTATTGTCAGGTCCGCGCGCCTGGTTTAGGGCACCATATATATGCTGCAGTGGAAACTCCAGTAGAAGCAGAGAGGGAGAAGACGACAACAAACAAGGGGCTAAATATATCGTCTGGAACAACAGGTAGAAGCAGAGTGGAAACGGCTGCAGTATATATATCGTCAAACAGAACTGCCCGATAGACCGTAGCCAGAGAGGGAGAAGAGGCCAACAAACGAGGGGTTATATATATATTGCCACATAACTATGAAGTTAGCATGAACTATAAGAGCGCACTTTGAGAAACAAACGGCAAAAATAAAAAATTAAAAACAAGACAAACATGAAGGGCACACTGAAACCATTCATATTTCTCATTCTTCTTCTAACTCCCCCATCACCATGCCTCTCACATACAAGGCTCGCCACGTTGATGAAGTTGAGCGCGAGCTGCTCCCATCCCCGTGTACCATAACAGCCCACATGTACGCTGTGAGAAAGAGGCAGAGTGAAGGGGGAGGGGATAAACACAGGGAGGAGAGATGGAGAGCAGACAAGCAAAGAACAATAAAGGGAAAGCAAGGGAAAGTACGGAGTGTGGAGTGAAGATGAAGGCAAAAGAGGATACGAAAAGGCTCAAGAATGAGTCTGTCCTTGACGGCAGAGGGGACATAGATTGTGAAAATGAGGTGGATGAACACATGGAAGACCTAGCTAAGCATTCTCAGTGCAACAATTGCCATGATGGCTGGCATCGAGGATGCCCACCATACAGCCCGACAAATGGCATGTCAATTGAAGGCCAAAATGAAGGAAGAACGGTCACCAGAAAAGACCATGCAGTCAGTATAGCGCCCATGGCCGCAAAATTGACATATAGCATCCGGATGCGGAGGGTGCCTGCAGTCAGGAATGGAGGGACAGTCCTCTGCACACATGGATGCAGAAACCATGTCATTGTAGTGATTGTGACATAGACGATGGCGACTACAGCCGAGTGTAACAGTGTTTGTGGCTGTGCAAAGGAGAAGGTTGCAGAGTGTTGGCACATTGTGTTGCTGCAACATGGGACCACAGGAATGATCTTCTACATAAAAGAGATTGTGGACAGTTTGTTGTGGCAAGAAAACAACATCATTTTGTAAGAAATCAGTGACATCAGTCATGGCATGGACCATGGTGCCATTGTCCCACAGCTCCCAGTGGACAGAGGCCTGTACAATGACCATGTAATGGCCAGGCCCGTGCACAATGCAGGCAGAGATGTGGGATGGAGGATTAAACCACTCACCTGCTCGAGCATTGCATAGTTCAAGTTGACGGTCCCTCATTGCTAC